AGAGTAGTCGTATTCTTCGAAGTTAAGGGGTCGTGGTGGCGGAAGAGGATGGTCGCGTCCGACGGTTTCCTAATGATTTTGGCGGGAACTCACGAAAGGGGCGCGAAATCGACAGAATTAGTAAATTTGTCGTTTATTTAGCCATATCAAGCTCTCCCCTCGACGGCCGTGTTGTAGGAAAAAGTGATCGGAAGTTCGGCTGTGTTGGCTGGTCTCGATACCAAATACTCCAGGGCCGCCATGATTATGAGTGTGGTGCTAGGGGGCAGGGAAAGGAAGTGGGAGGGTCGTATCGAGACCCCTCTAGTGGGAGAGTCGTCAGATTTTTGGAATAGGAACACAGGACGGTTGACTCTAGTCGCAAGGGCGACAGCGGCAGCGCTGCAGCGTTGCAAAGTGCAGTCGCCGCAAGGGTAGTGTCTTTTTGATGCGTAAGGTTTGCGTCGGGTCCACCTTCCCACTATTGATTTGGCATCGCGCCAGAATCGCGGCGATGGCGCAGTCGCCGAGTCTGACATCCCCCTTATGATCCCAAACGGGAGTCGAACATGGGGCGCATCGCTACTATACATTATCATCGTGTGATCTTCTCCTATTCACATTTCCTAAGCTGTTTCCAAAAGATGAATGAAAATAGGTACTAGAAAATCATAGCAGATTTTCTTGTCATAGCAGATTTTCTTGTCATGAACTCTTTTCCTTCATAAACATTTGAGCGATTTATAGCTAATATCACTTCAAGCTGATTTGCTTTTGACGTCGGCGTGCAGCATGTTCCACTTAAGATCTTACCTTATGAATACCCTTCGTCTCGAATCGAATTCTGCAATTCTTTTGGAATTTCTTGGGATTCTATATCATCTTTGGATCATCACTATAGCAATGTGCGCTTCCTTCGTTTTCTGTCGCGTGTCTAAATTTAATGATATTTCAGATTCACGACCTCCTTCAGCTCGTCGATACGTAATAGTATGGCCGGAGGTGCAACACGGAATGCGAGAAAATCGAGGAAGCGGAAGAACTCTGAGGACAGCACATCGGCTGCTCCGTCGAGGACTCTGAAGGTGGCTATATTTTTGAAAAATAGTAAACGCTGACACAGCTAGCAGCTTACGTAAGGACAAAAGGAGATCTGGGTAACATCCATTTTTTGTGGGGAAATGAAATTTTCCGAGCTCGTTCTTGCATCCGTTCCGGGCCAAGCAAGCATGTTCACGCTGTGTTTGAATACAACAAATCAACAGCGGTTTGATAAGACAAAGTCAAACAATATTTCATAGAACTAAACCATTGACGACCGTTGGCCCGCCAGTGGCCATACATTCAACTTGGAGCTGAGTCTTTCTCGCAGTTTATTTGGCACCAGGATCAACCACCCATTCGCACTATTCAAACGGGGTCGCATCCGTGATTTTGGGAAGATCGGGGGAGGGGGGGGAGGGGACGAGAAGGTAGCAGTCCTGCGCAGAAGTCATCTGTGCGACGTTGCCCATACGTATGCAGGGTCAACTGTGCATTGCGCAGCTCTTCAGAGGGTTCGATTGCGATCGGGCAGTAAAAGTTGAATGGGGTCGTATTATTTCGGAGGTATTGAGATTCGTGTGGTAAGCTTATGGGTATGAAGGGGTTTTGTGACTTTGAGCAAAATTCCATGAAAAAACAAGAAGCACGAATTAAAGGCTTTCCGTTTACCCACTCCCTCCGCCTCCCTCTCGACAACCGCTCGGTCGTCTTTTTGAGGCGGAGTGCGCTGTGTTACTGAGTATTCAGCCTGTGGTGATTGTGGCGAAGGTTATCGGGGTTAGGGGAAGGGTCATAATGAGTGGGCCTCCATTACGCTGTGTGGTGCCTGTTGGAGAGTATATGCAGACTCCTTAAAAAAAAGGGGGGGGGTTGACAATCATTAAAATTGCGCAAACGCACAGTTCACCCTGTCCGTATGCGTCAGTCTTATCTCATCTATATTTTCTACATATTTGCAATAGTCCTCCAGAATTTTATGTGCTCCCTCAGGTTCTTGGTTGGTGACATTTGAGATAAGATTCCAGATTCACCATCAGAATAAGCTGACTGGCTTTCCCTGCGGTGGGCGAGCACATTTTAAAATAAGCGGCGTTGAAGGCAAATTCTTCTGTTAGCCCAAGCAAATGGATAACGACGATCAGTATCTTGATACATAAGGTTAAGTAGACCCACTCGCGAAGGGATGGATGTGGCGTTTTCGTCATTAGTAGTGTCAAATAAAAAAAATTAGGTCTTGGCCCCAATATGGATACCGAAAAGTAGGCGACAGGAAAAATATCCAAGATACGATAGCTGCCTAGCACTTCTGGAGCACGCTCCCAGCTGGGTTGTATTCCTTGCGAAGATTCAACTCCACAACTCTATTCCGGCACCTCATTTGAACCAGTGGGAAAATGGATAATATTATTGAAAAGTAAAAGGGTCGATGATCATAGAAAATAAGGCATGCACCAAGCGGAGTTTTGTTTCTTTCGTGTAAGCCGCTATATTGGAATCGGTTCCTCGGTATGTACGCCTGCGATGTTGGATCTGTCCGTTCGCACGGTGAAATGATAAGGCAGCTAACGGAATAAACCAATCGTTGTGGCAGCGTTCAGAGTTGGCGATAGTACATGCGATTAGATCATTAGGCTATTAGGCGGTGAGAGAAGAAAATATACGTATCGATCAGTCGATTAGCGACAGGCGAGTAAGCAGTTATGGGAGGAGACGAATAGGCGATTAGGCGAGCAGGCATTAAGAAAGGATACGTATCGACTTGTTCACCCTGCCCACTGAACGTTGCCTCGCCTAATCGCATGGTCAATACGTACCTATTCCTTGGAGACCAATCGCCTAATCGCATACGATCGCCAACTCCGAACGCTGCCTAACAAAGTTAGGGAGCGACTGGCCTTGCAAATACCACCCTTTTGTAATGGCATGACTCCAATAGTACTCCATCTGTTAGATAAATACCCGCTATGCGTAGTTCTGACCACCCTTCATGGCGATGTCGTCGTATCCGGAGGATAATGGAGGGAGGAAGGGAAGGAAGGGAAGAGCAAACCGACCGACTATCGAATCAGTGTTGAGTTTTATTCTAGCCTGATGTCATAATAGCAGTAAGATCCCCTATTTGGCAAGACACCTATTTTGTTCATATGCATCTCCTGCGAAAGGGTACGACCCCAAAGTGTTGAGGGCGTAAAGCATATCTAGGTGAATGGAGGTCTTTGCGGCTACGGGGAGGCAGAACTGGTTACTGGAATTTCAGTGGATAGAGTCGGAGAATGCCACTTCACTGTGCGCTACCAATTAGGGAAAGCCTTATATCTACTTGACGCGAAATCGTTGCAGTGCGCGCTGCGACTCGTCCTCAACCTATCTGCATCTCTGCTTTCTCGCCTATCGAGCGTCCTGTCGGGTACCCAGCTTGATTACTATGCACCTCCTTCCACTCAACGAAAAGTCACAAAAACCGCTAAACTGCGCTACTGATGTTCTGCCACTGCAGGAGAGCGCGTGAAGAGTGGAAACTTGCTATCTCGCATACACCAGGACTTAAAGTTAGAGCTAGGCTTAGTTGGAAGGAAACGGTGGAATATGCTACTGAATAGCTTTCTTTTTGTACTGTCAGGTTTTCATATACAACATTTAGCAGTATTCGGTGGACGAAAAACTGGAAATAATCGAATTCGCGAAGGGTAATGGAAATCGCGCGGCTGGTCGGGAATACAATGTCGCAGAAAGTTCGATTCGAGAATGGCGAAAGAACGAGGAGAAGCTCAGGTTAGTGGCTGTCTTCTAGAGCGAGTTTCAAGAAATTTTGTCCAATCCTGAAATATCCTCATTTCCTCGCTTTCTTCTCTTAACACTGCTTTGTAATTGATTTCGAAGCTTCTTTATCAGCGTTCCATCAGTTGGTGCACATGATATGAGGTAAACACTTCGGCATAGCTGCGACATCCTTTTCATAATTGACTTGGTTAGAAACTTATTTCTGACTATTATAGTGGTTGATGTTGCAAAAAAGACAACAGCCACGAAGGTAGCGCGAGTATTCGTTCTCAAGATTTCCAAGCTGCTCTCTTCTTTCTCATCACTGTTTGGCTGGTGTCAGACTTTGCGAATCCAACGACTTATTAGCGAATCGCGGGGTACGACCGTTGTATCAGCGGATCAAACTATGTACCAGCGACTCGACACTGTTTGGAAGTGGCAGGGATTCGTTGGCACGTTAACTCACGTCCTCTCGCTCTCTTGTGCGCTCGTGGGCCCGGGAAAGTACCGAGAGCCAACGTTCAAAGGAAGTCAGGCCACTTCTAAACACAATGTTGAGTGGCTGGGACATCGTTCGAACCGCTGGTACACAGTCCGATTGTTGGTGCACGCTCTGCCCACATTCGCGTAGCGATCGTTGCGATTCAAAGTATGACACCTCACATTCGATGTGAGCATTGTTGGCTTACTTCACTCCACCACTGCTGACCCACACTCTTCTAATGAACGAGTTCAGTTTTGCTATTTCTTGCCGTGATCAATGTCTTTCACAATTTTCAATTGGGTTGGAACTCCTTTAAAAGTACCAAGCATTAGCCTGTAGAGAATATCGCTTCCAGAGAAGCTCAGTTTTAGAGCACGATTTGGTGGAAGTTTCGGCACAATTTTACCCTTACCCTCGCTGCCCCACTCGAAAACAGTTGAATTTTTTATCAAAATTTGTAATGACTGTAGATTTGGCTTACAAGTTGCCTACAGTGGTAGTTCCTCCCGTAAAACACGAAGTCGCATTCGTTTAGCGCGAAAACGTTTTCGTGCCATCGCCAAAATTCGCCAGAACACAGTGGATCACCGAATCGGATTGCTGACTCGCCGTAATCTTCCATGATGTACGAGTTTATGCAGTTACTTGAACACGATTTTCTATTACGATGCTTAAAGGAAGTGGGTACGAAAAGGAATTTTCACATCTGCGGAGAACCTGCTCCCCACAGAGCAACTAGCAGGCCGCCAAGGAAGCGATGTGTGGCGCTTGCACTGCGAACAGTGCTGTGGTTGCTGAGCAGGACCATTGCGCCCTTCCGCCCCATGCGCCGCCCCGCCCCATGATTCATCGGTGGCTTGGGCGAGCCGTGTTGCCAGCCGCAGCGCGGTTAGGGCGCCATGCCTGCTGTTCGCTGCCCAGCACGCGTTGCGCAATCTCGTCCACGCGTGCGCGGTCTTCGCCGCAGTCCATCTGAGAGCCGCAATAAACGGCCCAAAAGGGGGTCCCATTTCTCGTTTCCTGGACCGATTTCGCTGCTTCTTTCGCCACTGACGTACCATTGAGGACCCCCTCGTCCCCTCTAAACCCCATTCAAACCTAGCGTAACCGCTGCCTTTAAATGCTCCCTGTGTGGTAGTCGTTTCGATCTACCGATCAATGGCTTGCGCCGAACCCCCCCTTTGGCCGTCTGTGTTCTCCGAGTGTCCACAGTCTCTGACTTTTTGTCAGTCCCTCGATTTCGGCGAGACGCGCCTTTTTTGACGGGCGGCATTGTCAGGGAGTTGCCGATGTGAAAATTAAGAGACTGTCTGTTTTGAAGTTTGTAATTCAAAACGTATGTGATTCTATGTGTTGTCGACGCTGATCCCAAATACTCATCATTTTTTTGATCGACGAGTTTGTACGGAGTTATTTCAATGCGGAAGGGTCACACAGCGGAAAGGTGAACATGGGCCCCTACCTATGCTGTTTCTAGAGACACACACAGGGAGTATAAGACTGAGAATTGTTCTTTCTCAGCAGCTATGGGAATGATAAAAATCATGTGGGAACTGGGGGTTATGGTTAGACCTGATGCCTGAAGATATATGCCTAAACTTATTCAAGAACAGAAAGCTTCTAAAATGCAACTATTCAACGGTTTGAGTCCACTTTGGCCATGAGCCGTTGCTTAGGCTAGAGGACTGTGGCAATAGAGTCAAATTGAGGTAATCCAAGGGACGAATTCGAGCTGTCCGTAGGCTCTATAACAATCCGCTTGAAAAAGTGCGCCATGTCCTGAAAGGCTTTCCTCTTAAGAGAAGAATTTCTGAGTTGTCAAATCGAACCCATGTGTTTATGTGCAATTGTGGGTGATTCGCATTATATTTGTTACTTTCTCTCTCTTGCCATGTTCTTCTGAAAACTCTCTTGTGCAGTTCTTCAAATTCAGATATACGATTCATATGTGTGGGCAAGTTAAAGGAAGTAGGTACGGAAAGGAATTTTCACATCTGCGGAGAACCTGCTCCCCACAGAGCAACTAGCAGGCCGCCAAGGAAGCGATGTGTGGCGCTTGCACTGCGAACAGTGCTGTGGTTGCTGAGCAGGACCATTGCGCCCTTCCGCCCCATGCGCCGCCCCGCCCCATGATTCATCGGTGGCTTGGGCGAGCCGTGTTGCCAGCCGCAGCGCGGTTAGGGCGCCATGCCTGCTGTTCGCTGCCCAGCACGCGTTGCGCAATCTCGTCCACGCGTGCGCGGTCTTCGCCGCAGTCCATCTGAGAGCCGCAATAAACGGCCCAAAAGGGGGTCCCATTTCTCGTTTCCTGGACCGATTTCGCTGCTTCTTTCGCCACTGACGTACCATTGAGGACCCCCTCGTCCCCTCTAAACCCCATTCAAACCTAGCGTAACCGCTGCCTTTAAGGGATAATTAGTGATGACTAATTTTTTCAGACTCGACGACTCAGAAATATCGTATATGAGAAGAATAATAAGTATTGCAGAGCAGTGAACGGTACTGAATCGGAAAGACGAGAATCAACGGAGCCTGTATCACGTGAGCAATCGATTGGACAATTTGAAAACATGGAGGATGGCAAGGTAGTTCTTGTTTCACATTTGACTTGAAATAGCCCAAGTGACTGCTATTGAATACTCTGGCTGTCTCTTTTTGTCTCACAAAATTCGGTATCAGCTGAAGATCCACATGGAGAGACTTTCTTAGGTGTGGGGTGCG